TAAGTGTCTTCAATTCCTAGCCAGGTCAAGTTGATTAACTTCTTTAGTTTTCCAATACCCTGTAGCTAGTCTTTTATTTTAAACTACCTTGTTCTTTCTATAATCATATTCAGGTCTTGGTCAGATATGGTAATTATGACAGCTACTTTTAGTATATTTGTGTTAGTTATGTATCCTTTACAGGACATTGCAGAACCATCCCCAGCATATTTTTTTCTGTTGTTTTAGGCAAATTTATGTTTAGTAGTTTGCCACGTCTTACTGATGGTCGACTCTTGATATCACTATCGAAACTAACGCAAGACGGTCTGCTGCAAAATCATCTGCAGCTGTGATTGAGCCCGGCACCCTCGTTCGCAATATCTTAGCCACAAACGCTTAAGTATATAATAAAAATCATAGCATTTACAAACAAAAGCCTGATTATTGGGGGGGGGGTGAATGATGCATTTATTTATATGTTGAATTGTCTCTGACTCTCTGTAAATTGTACATCTTTAAAACTCAGTATGTATAGTACATACTGAGTTTTAAAGATGTACAATTTATATACTGATATACTGATATACACAATACTCCTTTTAGACAGTTTAAAGAGTAATAACACTTTTGAAGCACCAGCTACGCCAGGGTTTTAACTGCTCTACCGAAATTTGAGAAATTATTAGATAAACCTTCCTGCGGTAATAAATGAATTAACACAATCTCTTATCCAGAACAACAACAGAGATGTGATGTTGATTAGTATATTATATTGTTAAATAAAATTTGAGTACCGTGTAATAAAATCGATGTCATATTCAAAGGTCAGAAGCAGTTGAACACAAATGAATACTCCATGAACACTTAATAAATACATTTAGCGCTACGACGCTAGCACGAAGTTTAAAACATACTAATTTGGGTAAATGTCACTATTATTATTTCTGACATTCATTGGATGCTGCAGTCTCGTCTGCAGACATCACCCGGAAGTAAACAATCCACCCACAGAAATTGATTTCAATCGAAAGAGCTAGAGAGAAGGAGAGAGAAAAAGGAGGGGGGGGGGGGCGGGGCGGCGTGAATAATATTGCAACGTTAATTTTCTGGGTACAGAAGAACTCACCAGGGGGCTCTGAAACTTCGGGGCTTAGTCCCTTGAACCGGCTTATCAAATATGTAAGGAGGCTGAGTAGCCACCTCCCGATGCATAAAAGAAATCATTTTATGAGTGAAAACCTTGGCCTTGGTAGAAAGGTGCTTAAGCACAGAAAACACGGAAAACCCGTTCTAACCACCCTCTAAAATATTGGATTGTCCCATGACATCATTTGTGGTCAGCTAAACAAAAAACACCTTTTCTTAAATTTCGTATTATTTCGAATATACTATTTTATAGATTTGCAATTCAGCATATTATCACTATTATTATTATTATTAATATTATTATTATTATTATTACTGCGCAATTAAACAAAGCGTAATGTCCTTAAGGCTCCCACTGCCGGCTCCTATATAATTATTGCCCCATGCCCGTCCCATGTTTTCTCTGTGGCGGCACCACTAGATGATAATAAATGCGCCCGACCATTGTTTTTTTTTTTTTTCAACCGCAGCAAAGAAAACATCAGGTTTAGACCCGCGCTGGTCAAGTTATATACATTTATACTGTGTGTCATACTCAAAGTGGTCACCTTACAAGCTAAGAGCAGTTGCATTTTCATAGGTACATCTCCAATCAATAAAAATGAGGTTAACATAAGCAGTTGGTCAACATAGGAGGGTTGTCAACTTTTGAGGTTTAATTAAATATTTTTTTTATATTCGACACGCAATAATAGTTTATAATACTATTACTGTGCACTTAAACAACAGAAGGTAAGCGATTTGAGCCCCCACCGCTATAAAATTATAAAAATCTGAAGCACCTCTCTGCCCAACCCACCTTCCATCCTAGTGAGTTGAGTTGAGTTGAGTCAAGAAATGACATCACAGCACTCGGGAAATCCCCGTGTATGCTCCGTCCTCTTCTTCAGCAGCCAGCGCAGAGTTTCAGTACTAATTCTACAGGTCACAATCTGGTTAAATGTCCGCCTTGCCTTTTCTCTGAGTGCAGTGAGCCGGCTAGACCCACTGGTTACACCTAGATGCCTCATTTCCACCCCAATGATTACCCTGTGACGAGACCTCTTGTTGACAACATAATGTCAGCGGCACCAATAATTCAAGTACATTTTTTCCTCGCCTTCAGGCTTACTGGGCATATAGGGCTAAACCTATATTTTATAGACCAAAAGGCACATTGGTTGTCGTGGTCAACAACTGTTACACTGGCTTATTTGTTTGCAGCTGGTTGTTTCTTGCGCATGCACGTCGACTTAGAAGAAAGGCCCCAATCAGTCGACTCCTACGACATGCTTACGGAGAGGCAGTGAGTCTATTTTGCCCCCCCCCCCCTCCCTCAATGGGGTCCCGGAATCCATGCGGGAAAGCGCTGGGTGCGGGGAAGGCTCATTTGATCTTAGCCGTCAGTTTGTAGTTATAGAACTAGCATCACCATTTTTCGGCTGCGTGTGATTTCACCATGTAATTTTACATTCAGCAGTTTAGTTGTTGCTACCACCGTCGAAACCAGCGCAAGGTAGTCTGCTGTCAAATCCCCCGCTGCTAGGATCGAACCTGGCATCTAGGAATTAAAAAGCTCGTTCGCTTTTAAGCTACAGCTCTAGGGGCTAACAGTCTGCAGGGACCCTAATAACAAAAATGTTTTTTCTCCACAGCTGCGATTTTCTTTTCATTATAGCCTTTAATAGGATTATATTATATAATGTAGGTGATTTTGCTGACGCATTCTTTTTTTTTTTTCTTTAGCTAGCAATTATTAATAATCTATTTTCATCATTAGTATATTTAAAAGGCATATATGTATTGTAAAAGTAAAAAAGTAAAAGACCCTTTGCCACACCTTTCAGGTGTATTAAGCATATAGGACCGGACCTATATTTTATAGAAAAAAACGTCCCTTGGTGGGGGATGTGGTCAGCATTACGCCGGTCGCCTTTACTTCCCAGGACTGCACCTGGTACCCACTCAAGGCTGGGTCGACGTGGGTCGACCTGGTTTTGAAAAAAAAGTCCGGCTCCATATATATTGTAGTTTTCTTAAATTAGTACGTGTGGTTTAAAACAGTAAGGGCTTCAAAGCTTGATATAGCTTAGAGCGTCTGGCCACCACGTTACCGTGGCTCCCTCTGTCGATTAATCCAAATTCACTTGTAATCTAGGAGTTTTTGGTTGTGCAAAATTGAAGTGCATGGAAAATAAAACTACTGCATTTGTTCAAATGTCCATAAGCTGTACCGGTCGATCGACAGAGAGCGAACAAATGGTCTGTATGACGCTTGTTTACAAATCGATTACACAAAGCGCTCTCAGCCAACACAGGCTTATCCGAGGGGAAGAATCGATTTCCGCTACTTTAGATTGCTGTTACAGCACTGTGATTTTTACAAGCTAATTACAGTTTTTCCGAATACATTACCATAGGAAGCTGGGAGCTCAGCAGCCTCGCCCCCTCGCCCTTTTTTTCCCGCCCCCTATCCCCAACCATTTTTAGAAGCCTAAGAGGTCCATTTTTCAACACTTAGAAATTATATTAAAAGGTATTTGTTTACAATTTCTTAAATATTTTTTGTTTCTAGAAAAATAGATGTTGGTTATCACCATAATGAAAATTATTCAGGGCAGTGTCGTGCTATGATACAGAAATTCAGTCGCATTAGGCGGCAAAGTAAAAGTGGGGAGCGGCATAAGCAGCGAAATCAAAATACAATTTGAGGTTTTGATCAAAACTAAATGTATGATTTTGTTTCAGTCTTCCTCCTGTTCTCCCAATATGACACACACCCAACGACATAAAAGGGACATAACAGCAAAATAGTGATTAGCAAATGAAATGAAATGCAAATAAACATGGAAAATATAGTTTATTATATTTATTACCACCGTGCACCATTTTATATGTGACATGTAACAGATTATAACAGTAGTAGTTAAAAAAAACACACTCAAGGAACAAAACACACATACACACACAAACACACACACATACATACAGGATGTTTGTAAAGTCTCGCAATACTTTATGTGTAGAACAAATCTGGGAAGCGAAGTATATGACGTCCATAGTTAAGCAATATGCTGTGCATGGTTGTCGTCTGCTGAAGTAAGTCTTTACACTCTAGACTTTGGTGTTTACGTTATGATGAATATTGTATTGGTACTTTCCAGTTTCTCGAAAGCAGAATTCGACCATATCAGTAACTATTTTAACTAACTGGGTTTATTTCATAACAATAAATGATGAAGAATTTGAAAATGTCACAAACTTTGAATATCTAGGCTCTATAATGAACAACAATGGAGACTGTTCGACAGAAATTAAAAGGAGGATGGCCATAGCAATGCAAAGATTGAACAGCCTTAAAAGTCTTTGGTTAAGCACCAGCAAGGAGATAAAAATTAGAATTTTGAGATCATGCATCTTCCCTGTGGCTACATACGGATGTGAGTCGTGGACTATCTCTCAGTCCTTAAGAAAGAGAATATGGGCTTTTGAGCTGAAATGCTATAGAAAGATTCTCAGAATATCTTGGACAAAGAAGATGAGAAATATTGACATCTTTAAAGATTTGAACTTCAAGGAAGATTGGCTAATAAAAGCTGAAATATTTTGGTCATATCAAGCGCCACGACGGATTGGAAACAAATTATAGCAGAAGACATGGTACCAGGAAGGAGGGGCAGAGGCCGACCGACACGAAGATGGGCACAGGATATAAGTGACTCCTTGAGTGTGAAAGTTCATGAGGCGGGAGAACTGGCAAGAGACCGAGTTTCTTACAGGCAGACCGTGATGAGAGCGACGATCTGCAAAAGACCTGCTACATAATGATGGGTTTATTTCTGAGCACATTTTTGATGACGTCATATACTTGGGTTTTTTTCTTTCAGATTTCTTCAGCGTACAAAGTGTAGTAAGACTTTACGAATACCATATATATATATATATATATATATATATATATATATATATATATATATATATATATATATATATATATATATATATATCGTTTTTGATTTCATGTTGGATCTTGGTCTGCTGACAGTCGTTTTTATCGACCGCTTTTGTCGATAAGTACAAACATCAGAGTCAACAGAATCATAACCGCCTGTTGATTGATGAGTACACTGCGACACTTCTGTCATTTCCGCATTGTATTCTGCCAAATCGATTTGCTTATTGTTACATTTGAGTTCTCTTACAATTGGGCTGATTTCTTCTCCGTGAGCTGTTATGCCTTTTAGTTTCCTTTGCAGCGCTGGCTGTTCTTGACGAAAATATATCTCCGGCTTTCTCCTATGATATTTTTTAACTTCACGCAAAACAAGAATGTACATGACGAACGTGGCAACGAGAGGACAGTCTAAAAGTACTAGAATGATGACTAACAAAGATTGCTTGTTATGGACAAATATGCAAGTTTTCTGCAAATTAGAGCATAGTACTATATGTTCTATTCCCTGAGTATGCCATCCACTAAGTACAATGGCCAATACGAAAGCCGTCGGGACAATCCAGCACACACCAATCATCAGAAAGATAGTTTTCTGGGTCAGTGTCCGAAAAAGGAGAGGCCAGCATACGGCTAAGTATCTGTCGAAAGCCATGCAGGCTACATGAAAAAAGGACACTGCAGACAGGATGATATCAAAGACTTCCCTCACATTGCAGAGGGTACTGCCCAACTCCCATCGTCTGTTGTTGACTACACTGTAGATACCAAACGGCATGATCATGCTACCGAGAACGAAATCACTAACTGCCATTGAAATAATCAGATACTGTGTTTTATTACTGCTGTCGTTGGTTTTTGGCGCAAAACATTTGAAACGAACGCTGATGAGAGCAGCAATCACCAGGAAGTTTCCCAACACTGTCATGGCGGCGACAAGGGAGAATACTGCAGTCAGGAGAAGTCTAGCCTGAAGATTATCCGTGATCATACTGTCTGGATTGACAAAGCTCAAGTTGGCACATTTTGTGTCATTCGCCATATCTGTGTTTACTTTGGCTCCAGATTTTATTTCTGTTGAAATAAAATAAATCGACAGTATAAGCACAGAGTCTGTTCAAATTGGACACAATTTTTAGTTTGATATCTAAAACACCCTGGCTTAACTCAGTTCTCTGTTACCGTAAACCTTACGGTTGAACGGGGTTTCTGGACGTCACGCCTTATCCGAATAGTCACTTTGTGTCACTGGGTGCTAGTCCTCTTTTGCGCGGTCCTATTAGGGTCACTCACTCGTCAAGCCAAAAACAACAGTTAAATAACATGAACGAACTACTTACTCTTTCACATAAACAAAAGTAATGTTATTGGAAAGAAGCAACATTAGACGGGCACCTATGACTACATATCTGCAGCTTCACCGAAGATAATTGGTTCAAATATAAAGCAGTAAAGCTCAATTACTGGGTCAAAATAATCCCTACATTTTAAAAATTACAGCATGCCAGTCCATGATTCACTTCCTTCTTATATCAGGTATGGCAAGATTTATTTAGCTCTTTCCTCTAAGAAGACCTCTTCTCTTATCTACTGCAGTTACTTCAAAAAAAAAGAATTGTAGATTGCATAAAATATTTTTCATTTCGTAAAATGCTGCAAGACATACTGTTACTCTTTTATTTGCTTTCTCATCATTTAACTTGTGTAATACTCATCCACGCCATGATCTAGGAGTGCCTCAGATGATCCCTTACAACAAGATAGCAAAGACAATTAGTAACCATGAAATAAGATTCCGAGAACGTCCGCTTGAGTGGTCAGAAGGAATAAAGTCAATAAAGAAGTCAAAGGAGAAGATCTTGACACAGAACCAAATCAAAATGATATGTAAAGACGGCAAATCACATGACATGTAAAGACAGCAAATCAAATGGTTTGCCAGCTTACAGAGAATGCCTTGCGGTGCCATATCGTTGTATACAAAAACCAAAAATAAAAGAGAATGACGTAAACCGTTAGGCAGACCAATAACAATACGGAAAGATAACATAGTAGAAACGGTATGTCTATGGTCTAGGCGACCAGAAGAGCAAGAGGCAGAACATGATATCTCTGTTCACATCCGAAGCGGTAAAAGAGAAAGTCAAGAAGAGGAAGATCAAACTGTGTATGCCAACAGCAGTACTAGTTCAGCTGGATGGCAAAGTATTCATGCCAACAGCAGTACTAGTTCAGCTGGATGGCAAAGTATTCATGCCAACAGCAGTACTAGTTCAGCTGGATGGCAAAGTATTCATGCCAACAGCAGTACTAGTTCAGCTGGATGGCAAAGTATTCATGCCAACAACAGTACTAGTTCAGCTGGATGGCAAAGTATTCATGCCAACAGCAGTACTAGTTCAGCTGGATAGCAAAGTTTTCATGCCAGCAGCAGTACTAGTTCAGCTGGATGGCAAAGTATTCATGCCAACAACAGTACTAGTTCAGCTGGATGGCAAAGTATTCATGCCAACAGCAGTACTAGTTCAACTGGATGGCAAAGTATTCATGCCAACAACAGTACTAGGTCAGCTGGATGGCAAAGTATTCATGCCAACAGCAGTACTAGTTCAGCTGGATAGCAAAGTATTCAAAGTAAAATTGCTGAGTGAGATCACAAATAGACAAAAACTGCTCAACTGTCTCCAGCTCCTCACAGGTAATACAAACTACAGGTCTATAATTAATACGCTGCACTATGTGTCTTCTTTTTGGTGAGTCATTATGTAGCAGAACGTCGCTCTCATTACGGTCTGCCTGAAAGAAACTCGGTCTCTCGCCAGTTCTCCCACCTCAAGGAGTCACTTATATCCTGTGCCCATCTTCGTGTTGGTCGCCGCCTGCACCTCCTTCCTAGTACCATGTTTTCTGCTATAATTTTTTCCAATCCGTCGTGGCGCTTGATATGACCAAAATATTTCAGCTTCAGAGACAGGATGCTGTTTATTAGCCAATCTTCCTTGATGTTCAGATCTTTCAAGATGTCAGTATTTCTCCTCTCCTTTGTCCAAGATATTTTGAGAATCTTTTTAAAGCATTTCAGCTCAAAATCCCCTATTCTCTTTCTTAAAGACTGGGAGATAGTCCACGACTCATATCCATATGTTGCCACAGGGAAGATGCAAGCTCTAAAAATTCTAATTTTGTTTTGGTGAGCGTTATTCCAAATTCACAGAATGCATGAGTATGTCAAGTATTCTGTACAAAAAATGCTTACAAAAAGAAATCCAACATCGTTTACGTAAAAATCACACAGAACGCCTAGTTCAACAGACACAAAAGGCACAACATCGGGCCTCACTTTGAGCTGTACTCACTGATCACTAACATTACAATGATTTCCAGTATTCTCAGTTTATTTTAGCAAACTCTGATACCGGCGTGGTGAGGGATATTCATGTCGCTCGCGGTATGATTGGTGAATGCTAATATAACATTTTATCTGAGTTCCACTTTGACAAAGTAAAGAGAGCAAATCTGGTCCAGAGTAGTGACGTTTCATTGGACACCATAAGCGACAGGTTAAGACTTTAAAGGCATAGCCCTGTTAGTGACACACAGGTAACGTTAAGACCCGTAGAAGAAGGGTGCTGAAAAAATCATCACCATAGGTTACCCCAGATGGCTCGGCCTTGCAGGGGTGGCGCCACAGGAAATTATGGATGAGAGGCCCAACCCCTTTTAAGTGTCTAGTATGGGGCCGCGTAATAATAATAATAATAATAATAATAATAATAATAATAATAATAATAATAATAATAATAATAATAATAATATAAATAATAAATAAATAAATAAATAAATAAATAAATAAATAAATAAATAAATAAATAAATAAATGTAATAATAATGTGCGGAATGACAAACAATACAATTAGTTTTTAAAAAAAAGTTAGTTCCGTATCCTTTACAGGACGTTGCAGAACCAAACCCAGAATTTTTTTTTTTTTTTACTATTGTGGTTTTTCTAGGCAAATTTACATCCAGTAGTTTGCCATTGATTTCTGGAGGTTCGGCTTCTCAATACCAATGTCGAAATCATCGCAAGGCGCAAGGCCCGCAGCTGGGATTGAACCCGGCACCCCGACATTACGAAGCGCGTTCGCAATGCCTAAGCCACACAGGCTGACAATTGGTAGTATTCTTTTATTTCACCTCGTCTAGGGGGCTAAAGAATTGTGTAGGAAATGCATAAAGAGTTGTGCAGGCTTCTCATTTTTTTTATATCTTCTTCTTCTTCTTCTTCTTCTTCTTCTTCTTCTTCTTCTTCTTCTTCTTCTTCTTCTTCTTCTTCTTCTTCTTCTTCTTCTTCTTCTTCTTCTTCTTCTTCTTCTTCTTCTTCTTCTTCTTCTTCTTCTTCTTCTTTTTTTTTCTTCTTCTTCTTCTTCTTCTTCTTCTTTACCTTCCCTGGCTTGGAAAGTGGGGTGGAGGGGAGTGGGGGGGGGGGGGATTTTTTTGTTTGTTCACTTCTATACTTTTTTTTCCAGAACTTGAGTGTTGCCTTTACATCCGTTTTACAGATCTGGCTTATCTGCATGCAGACTATTATTTCCTTGTTTCTCTAGCAGATACATTCTGACTTTGAATGAATCCCCTAATTAGTCGACTCTTACGACATGCTTGTTAAGGACACGATACGACGGCTGCTTGTGCTTCGTAGACCATATCGTGATACTCATTTCAAGCCATTGCAATCAAATATTTGAATAAACAGCTTCTTTACAAGGTAGACAATTGACCCCCCCCCCCTCCCCCAATCCCCTGAAAACTTTAAATGAAGAGAGGGTTACAAGTATGGGAGCTTAAATCTAACACTCACCTGTATTTTATTGTGTGCATTGTATGGGAGCTTAAATCTAACACTCACCTGTATTTTATTGTGTGCATGGTATGGGAGCTTAAATCTAACACTCACCTGTATTTTATTGTGTGCATTTTATGGGAGCTTAAATCTAACACTCACCTGTATTTTATTGTGTGCATTTTATGGGAGCTTAAATCTAACACTCACCTGTATTTTATTGTGTGCATTGTGTGGGAGCTTAAATCTAACACTTACCTGTATTTTATTGTGTGCATTGTGTGGGAGCTTTTGAACTGAAATGTTATATAAAAGTTCTCAGAATATCATGGATCGAGAGGAGTAAAAACATTGACCTTCTGCAATAGTTAAACATCAAGGAGAACTGGTTCATAAACATCATCCTGTCCCGAAAGTCGAAGTATTTTGGCCACACCAAACATCATGGTGGCTTGGAAAAGACGGGGATGGAGGGTGCAGTTTGTGGAAGGCGAGGCCGGGGACGACCTCCGCGAAGATGGATACAGGACATTTAAGATGCATTGACATTAAAAGCACATGGGGCTGAAGAGCTGGCTAGGGAGAGGGATACTTTAAGGCGTGCCGTGAAGAGAGCGACGTTCTGTAAAGGATATGCTGACTGATGATGATTGTATGGGAGACAATCTGTGGTACAGAACGAACAACTTGTTTAGTGACAATAGTTTCCCTTGTAAGTCAGTTAGTGTTCTCCCTTTCTCTGCCCCTGCCAAGGGGGATGCGTGGTCTCGAGGCATGGTGTCCGCCTCGAGTGCTAGAGGTCCCGGGTTCAAGCATCGGTGAGTGCTGGGATTTTTCACGTGGACTTCGGGTTATTTCCCCTGATCTCTGGGTGGTAACATTGGACGCCCATGTGTATTAATGAGCACGTAAAAAACGATTTGGCAATTAAAAATCAAGAAGAGTAGTCTAACGGCGCTGCTCGGCCAAAATTGGAGTTAAAAATCTACCCAAAATATTTCAGGATCCTTTCCGGTGTGAATAGAGTTCGTGCACTGCGATGAGGCTCTTCAGACTCAGGCTTGAGTTAAAAGTAAGAACGGAGCACTTAGTGGTTACACCCGTGTGCCTTGATGTTGATCCGTTGAATAAACTTAAAACAAAATATAAATCTCCAAACCAAAGTAAAGACGGGGCACAGAAAATATAGACAGTGGCCCCAC